TTTGATCCGCAGCCTAACTCATCCTATCCAGGAGCTAATATTATTTACTGTGGCTCATTAAATTAGACTAATATAATTTTCTCTGCTGTATAATCCAAAGCGATATAAGCTACGAAAGCTTATCTTTCTTTGATTAAAGGAGCAAACTGAGTCTCCCTCAGCAGGAAGTGCTGGAGTCAGTGATCAGTGATGAGACAAAATAAATAATCTTTCTGCAGTTGTTTTTGATTACACACATAATGTAGAAATTATAATCAGCTCATCAGAGTTTATATTCATATGAACAGTCTCCCCACACAGTGACAACAATAGTGCTGCTCCACAAATGTCTCTTCCCAGGTACAAAGCTATTGTGAAACCGCTGGACATCCACAGGTCCAGCGCAAGACTCAGCGTCTGCTTCCGAGCAGGGTCGATCTGGCTGCTCTCTGTGACTCTGGCGATTCCTGAGGCCGTCTTCTCGGACCTGCACACCTTCACCACCAGCCACACCAATGAGACATTTGTGACCTGTGCCCCCTACCCACACGCCGGGGAGCTGCACCCGAAAATCCACTCCACTGCCTCCTTCCTGATCTTCTACATCATCCCGCTCTTCATCATATCTGTCTACTACTGCTTCATCGCTCACAGTCTGGTCAGGAGCTCTGTGGATATCCCTGCTGAAGGACACCTGCACCTCCAGAGACAGGTCTGAGCCTGGCCTCTGCTTATTTATCTTATTATGTGGTTATTTATGCTTTTCTCCATAACCGGTTGTCCAAAGGTAACACAATCCACTTACTAGCACCTCTTAAACTCACTAATTAATTGAGACTTTAATTTGTAATAAACCCAAAGTATAAAAACTCTAATTTGACATTTTGCTGCTGGTTATGGGACAGACTATTTCTTGGCTGGGACCAGTGGCCCTTTGGAGTCTCTGCTGGTTGTGTAACCTCTGCTTCCAGCCTGGGATATAACCCCTAACCTGACGGCGCCAGATGGTTTGCCATCTGGGAAATCATTGTTGGAAACAGTTTGGAAAAGGCACTTTTAAAAAATACTCAGCAGGTGATTGGATGAACCATCAGTGTATCAAGGCGAACATCAACCAGTCAGATTGATGAACTATAAAACGTAGTCAAACTGAAGTCAGTCGGGAAGGCCGAAAACATATTTTCCACAGAGAAAAGCCATTAGTGGCGTTCTTTGTTCTTCTTTCAGTGAAGAAATACTCTTCAGTTCTGATATAACGGATGCTAGCAACATCTACGGTAACCTCTTCAGCAGCCGCCATCGTTGTTGTTGCGCCGACTGAATGAATGCATGACAGCAGCCCACAGAGCACGCACACCTATAGACTGTAGACAATGGACACTAACA